TGGTCATGTCCTGTTCTGCTCTCCCACAATAGTTTAGGCCTTTGCTTTCCTTCTTTCCATGCATATCAGTCTTAGCCCACTGTATTCCAGCCTCCAGCTGCTCCAAACAATGCTTGCTACATCCTAATAAAAGACACCAAGGTGAAACATAATATTTTGTGGACTCTTCATTCCCTTCCTCTCCATTGCCAGGGAACCCATTAATCTCTGTTTCTCTGGTTTGAGAACTGCCATCACATATTGCCTGCCTCCAGACCAGCATTTGGATGATAATCAAAGCTTATCTTTGCAGATGAATACTTACAAGATCTGGTGTGTCCTGGAAAGCTCAAGTCTTTCCTGCCTTCCCATCAATTACCATAGTGCTCTGCCTTTTGGCATCCTGTGCCTTATAGACATCCCGGCTCCTGGTTTCCCTGTTTGGGGGCTCTGCTCCCCTTTTTCCACATGAACAGTGAACACTGAAGAGACAAATGTCCCGTGGCCACGGTTGCCTCACCAACTGGTGTGTCCAGGCTCTTGGAACTACAAAGTATGAGTCAGAGGAGCTGAGTCCCAATTCTGGCTCTGCCCATGTTTCTCTGCATCATCATATTCCCTCTCAGCTTCCTCAGCTGAAAAACAGGGCTCATAATATTTCCTTACCTACAAAAGCTGTTAGGAGGATTATTGCATTGTTGTGAATTCCACAGACGAAAGGTACTACAGAAGAACAAACTGCAATTACTGTTTCAAACCCCTGCCTAATCCTGTCATCCTTAGCTGACTGAATAACACTTACTCAATCAGGGAAATCTTACCACTACAGTGAAGAAAATCATTGGTAAAGATGATTCTCTGTTGCAGTAGGAGCATTTATCCCCTTGTGTTCAACACCCTTCTCTCTGCCACTGGGATGATCAGAGTCATAGAATCCCAGATATTTACTACATGCTCTTAAGCAGTCTTCTGTTTGGGCACTATTATTTCTTTATTTCCAAACCAACTGTTATTGAATAAATTCTCTCTTAGTGATGTACAACAACATGCATTCTAGAGCTAGCAGCTGCTGCTTATAGGCTTTGCAGTGAGCCCACTGATATGTGGGGTCTCTTGCAGCCCATGGTGGTGGATGGCTGACAAAATGGTCAGAATGGCCAAACTTGCCTGCCTTGAGGCCTGTGGAGCTCAGTCAGCCTTGCATGTGCAAGGAAATGGGCAGCCTGCCTACAGACCTGCCCAGAGGGAGGGCAGGATGCCTTGCCAAAGTAGCATTCATATCCCCTCAGCAGCCTTCTCCACTTTTAATCCCTTGGTAATTCCCAAGTACAAATGCTAACAAAGAGCTCCCTTGCAGCAGGAAACTATGGAATGGTGAGGTAGAGAAATCAGGAGCTCACAGTTAGTACCCATAGCAAAGGTCAGAAAATTTGATGCTCTAGGCTAGCATTCACAGCAGTCCCTGATTATGCTTAAATACTTTTGGGTGCAATCATGCAAGGCACTGAGTGTGTCCAGTTCTCATAAAACTCATCAGTCCCAAAGAGACAACTATCTCCCTTTTTTGCTTCTGTCTCCCTCGTTTTCAAAAGCCTTAAGTCCTACCTTAGACACCAAAAGCAGAGAAGCAAAAACTTTAGCAGCCTTGAAACCCACTCTGGTTTTGCACAAATAGTTTTTTTCTTGTCAAATCTTATGCACAAAGGTTCCTAAAAAGATGTATGTACCATTGTGCTTTAAGGGTTAAAAGTAGTGCAATGGCAAGGAATAAATATGCTGCAGGTGTTAGTTAACAAGCTACTAATTGGGTAACTGGAGGTGCAACATAAGAGACCACAGAGGCTAATCAAAAGGCTTTGGGTGAATCTAGGGTGCTTCTTGGAGCTTGGGGAGGAGAAAGTAAAAAGCTGCTGCTGTAGTCTTGTGTTTTCTGGAAAAGCTGGTGTTAAGGTATTGTAGAACAGGCAGACTGTTTATCTTGTGTGTAAAACTAATGGCCAAATCAGTTCTGAAATTCAATTAAAATTGCAACTGTCTTTTCCTCAGTCTAAGTGCTTTTACTTTGGGCTGGGTAACTTGTGCTTGGATCATTCTGATTTGATTTTACTGTATCTCCTCTGGGGCTCATTCAATCTGAGTTAGCCTTTTTGGCTAAACCATTATCTAACCTCACTGCCTTTCATAAAAAAGGCCTAGAACATGTTTGTTTTCCTGTTCCCTTGGAGGATGCAGCTGGGTTCTCCAAACACAAGTTTGCAGACCTACAGGTAGGTGTGTGAGTGACTTGTATGTTCTAGGTTGAAAACTGATAGTGCTGAAATCTTGGGGGATAGTTTCTCACATGAATTGTTTTGCCTGCTCAGCCTGACCCATGATGAACACAAAAGTTTGAGATGAAACTGTCTTACACCCACCCTGGATGAGATAAGGAAGTGCAGTGTAAGGTGTTGTTGGAGACTGCTTTTGGGTTTCAGTTTTGTTGCACCCTCCACTGCCAAACTGCAATTTGTGAAAGTGGATTTGCAGTGAGGATCAAACTCCAGTTTTGATTTTACGTGTATTCACTGGGAGGTGGCTGTGCCCTGCAAGCTGCAAGGGCCTTATGGCTCTTTTTGCTGCCCTTCTGCCTGTCCTTACCCATTTTGCTTAGCCTTCTTGTTGCACTTTCTGTTGCTGAACACTTTGCATTGTGAGACATCCCCCCTGTAAGCTTGTAACTCTGCTGGGTCTTTCCTTTCAGCCAACACATTTTTTTTTTATTTCAGAAGTTTGTATCAACCTGATAAATACATTTTTAAAATAATACTTTCAGATTATGATTCAGTTGAAAATGAGTGCTTGGAGTGGAAGGCCTAGGTTTTCCCAAGTGTTCATAATTAATACTCAGCTGGTTACTCCCTACTCCCCCTCCTTTGGAAAGCTTCAGCCTGCCAACTTTTCCTAGCCCCTGGTGCATGGAGTGGCAGCAGTTTTCATGCAGGGGTTCTTTGGTCATGCTTATATGATTTGGTGCCTGTGCATGGTATGACATTTGTAAATTTAAACCCTACTTATCCATGAGGATCAGGTATATACTGGAGCAGGACAATGTGTTCAGAAGAACTGACCTGGTACTCCTCAGCTTGCAAATGCTTTGGTATATGTATAGTCTTTAGAATTGCCTTGAAAATGGGAATAAAGCAGAATGATGGTGAAAAGGGCCCTGTACTCAAAATTCAGTCATTCCCTATCTCCCTGATATATGGTGTCCAGGATGCTTCAGGCAGGGCAGAGTAGAGATGGTGTTCCAAAGGGATTTCCTCCCTCAGTATGGTGAAGTGGAACACAGGATGAGCAGACACAGGGCAGGTTCATTGCATACCAGCTTGTGAAGTGTGGCTGTTCCTCCAAAGACCTTAATGCACCTTTTTCTTACTGCTTGTATGCTCCGTGTTCCTGCAGAGGCTGTTTGCTCTGGGTGCAGGGGGCATTGAAGTGGCTTTCAGGTACCTGATGGGCAAATCAAAAAGGTTCCTGTGGCAGTGGGAAGCCCAAGAAGGCACACACTGACCATGTGTGGGGTTTGGCTGTAGATGCAGATGCAACTTCAAATGCTGTCTTACAAAATAAGGATGTCCAAGGGTGGTGCAGCTGTGAGCGGGTTTCTAGTTCCTGAATTTCTACAAGCCTTAAAGTGAAGTGCAAAAAAAGCATATGGTTAAGGTTCTGTTAAGGCATATGCACAGCTTTGGTTTCATCCTGAGGCAGCTGCAAGCCTGGCTAAGTGGAACTTTCCTAAGCATCTCTCCTGTTGCCTGTAGAAAACCCAATCTTGCTTGTTATATCAGACCTCCTGAGAAATTTCAGTCCTGTTGATCACGTTTTTCAAAAGCTCATCTTCTGGAAACGAGATTTTCCAGTAAAACTGCCTTCACCTTATGGTTGCAATAAACTGACTTCTGAATGGGCATCGTGGCCTTGCCTGGCTGTAAGAGGCAGTGTGGCAGCCTCCCCTGGTCTGGGTGCCCACTGAGGAATCCCCTAACTACTTATTTTAAGTTGGGGCTCAAATGTTTCTCCTGGACTTGTTTATTTTCCAACGGTTCTATTCTGTTTGTTTTTTTCTTCTTATTGTGCTGCAGCAACTGAATAATAATATTTGGGGTTGTAGCAGCATATTTTTTTTTTTATAATACTTCTGTTTGTATGTTTGCTTCAGGATATAAATTGTGTTGGTCTGCGATTTGGAAGTGTCTGTTTGCTCGTGTCTGTTGATGCTTTCAGGGTGGGTGTGTTGGTAAAGCTCATATTGTGTTTTTATTGCATACATTATTTTCCTTCTTGTTTCCAGCCGTTGACAATGTTATGAAATGCACTAACCAGTGCAAACTACATGACGCTGTGGGTTTTCTTGATCTTTTTGGTTTGTTTTGGTTGGGTTGTTGTTGTTTTTTTGCCACTTACTACTACCGCTCTGCTTTGCCGACGTTGTATTTTGGTTGCAGCTCCTACGAGTTGTTGCGTAATAACTGCGAGCGCGCGTTGCCCGGTGCGAACGGCGGTTTGAAACGGGGGAGGAAAAAAAGGGGAAAAAAGAACCCAGCTCCCGCAGTTTGTGATTTCAAACTCGGTCTCCCGCAGCCCCTGCGTGGGTTTGAGCCGAGGAGACCCGCACATTGCCCCGCTGCACTTTTAAGGGCTCTTGTTGTGCCTTGAGAGCCCGAGAGGCGCGACGGCGGGCGGAGAGGGGAAGCCGGGATTGTCCCCGGCAATGTCTGCCCGGGGAACC